GTTACACTACCGTTTGTTGAAAAGTTAATCTTGGCTCCATTCTATTGCCTCTGTTCCTTTGTCAAAGGTCAATTAACTATATTTATGTGAGCCTCTTTCTGGGCTCTCTAGTCTCTTCCATTGACCTATTTCTCTATTCTTTCACCAATACCACACTGTCTTGATCAATGCAGCTTTATAGTAAGTCTTGAAGTCAAGTAGTGTTAGTCCCCTAACTTTATTTCTTTGATCATTTTTTAATCACACAATTTTATTTTGTAGTTGTTTAGTTGTAGGATTTCTTTATATATTTTAGGTATTTTTTCCTTATCAGATATGTTTTTCAAGTATTTTCTACCATTCTGTAGTTCGCCTTTTCACTTTTTTTTTCTTTAAAGAACTTCAGTCTGACTTAGTCTCACTTGTTTATTTTTGCTTTTGTTCCCTGTTCTTTTGGTGTCATATCCAAGAAATCTTTGATAAATCCAAAGTCATGAAGCTTTCTTCCTGTTTCCTTCTAGAAGTTGTATAGCTTTGGGGCTTAAGTTTAGATCTTTAGGCCATTTTGAGCTAATTTTTATGTATTTTGTAAGAAAAGGTTCCACCTAATTCCAGGTCAGTGAGGAAGAACATGTCCACGTGCTGGAGAGTGGCACACCCCAAACTCCCTGGGGACAAGAGCAAACTGTACTGGGCTTGCAGCCCAGATCTTGTCCTATCGATCTTTTCATCTGGCTGTTGATTTGTATTCTTTGAAATATCCTTTGTAATTAATCAGTAATAGTAAGTAAAGCATTTTTCCTGAGTTCCATGATCCATTCTGGCAAATCATGAAACCTGAGGAGGGTGTTGCAATTACCCCAATTTGTAACAAACTTGGACAGAAGTGAGTAACCTGAGGAGATGCACTAGCTGTGATTGGCATCTGAGAGGAGGTGGGCAGTCTTGTGTGACTGAGCCCTTAACCTTTTGTGATTTGAAGCTAACTCCAGGCAGATAGTATCAGAATTGAACTGTTAATCTGCTCACTACCCACACTTCAATTGCCATGTGTGTGTTTACGAATTTTCATCCTTCTACTCTGACCTAACTCCAACTGTATACATTCACCTGCATGAATAAAATACAACTTTGTTAAATCCTAGGCTTCAAAAACTCAACATCTACAGAATAGATCTAGATTTCTTTCCCCAGTGGTTTTGTTTCCTGTATTTGTTATTCATTTGTTCATTTATCAATTGAAAATATAGTTTCTGACTTGACACGGAATGTCAGAAAATGGTCTTAATATTTGAGATACAACATGAGGAATATAAACATGGTCTGTGTTCTCATGGAATGTTTTCATTAGCTGCATAAAAGTATAATACAAATTATAGGAAATACTATATTATAAACTTTAGAAAAACAAGAAAAATGCAATAGTTTTATATAGAAGCTGATCTACCATAGCTGAGAAGCTGGTAATGTAAACAGAAGGAAAAAGTATAGGAATATACCTTTATAAGAATACACAGGTTTTGAATTGAAGCAGGTGGCAGGATATAGTAAGAATATTCCAAGAAGAAAGTATGTGTCAACAATAATTTGAAAAATAGCCTGGTCTACATAAAGAAATAAACTAAGTCTGATAAAGTTGCAATATGGACAGTAAGGGAAAGGAGAGAGGAAGTATGGCAAGAAAGAGGAAAAAAGAGAGTCAGGAAAAAGATTACAAGCGTTACCAACATTTGGTAATTCATCTTAAAGGCAAAAGGGGAAAAAAACAGATTAGGTGAGAAGAGTAAGTATTAAATGTCCAAAACAAAAAAAAATATGTATTCTGATTTTTTATATAAATAAGTATATGCCTGTCTGAATGCTGATGTATGTTGATTGGAATATTCATATATAAAATTTCTGTTTTCATAAGTAATATGGCTCTGATTTGTAAGCTAGACAATTTGTTTACTGAAATTTTCTCTTGAGAACATTCACCCAACACATTTGTTTTGTGTGTTTTTTTCATTCTTGAATTATTTATATATCTCTGGTGGCATGGATTATATGTATAACTTAGTGTATCAAAATATGTATCAAACGTTCAATAAATGTTAGTAATTTATTTTTGAAAATAATGATTTATATTAGATAAATTCATATTCATGTTTCTGAAATTTTAATATATTTGATTCCTTAATTATGTGAAGTAGTTATAATAAATCAGTTTGATAAGCAATAATCAGTTTTATATCAATAATAAAACAATCTATATGATGTTTTTTATAGTTAAAAAAGCTGCACAACTTTTAGAAAATTACCTAGTATATAGTGAGTATTCAATAAACGTAGATAGTGATGATACTGTTGAGGAGGATGATTACAATACGATGGTGATGATGATGAAAACACATCTCATTACCTGATGACTATATACGACATTATAATGCTATTAAAGGATTGATTTTGACTAAAGGATTGATCTCTAGTGACGCTGCTGTGTTTTCTTTTAGGCTCAATATATTCATTATAGAAATTGAGCTTAGGGGCCAGCCCCGTGGCTGAGTGGTTAAGTTTGCACACTCCGCTTTGGTGGCCCAGGGGTTCACTGTTTTGGATCCTGGGCGTGGACATGGCGCTGCTGGCCAGGCTTTGCTGAGGTGGCATCCCACGTGCCACAACTGGAAGGACCCACAACCAAAATATACAACTATGTACTGGGGGGCTTCGGGGAGAAGGAAAATAAAAAATAAATAAAATCTTTAAAAAAAAAGAAATTGAGCTTATAAGTTCTCAATTCTAATTTGAGATATTTTGACTTTTCTTTTAATTAAAATTGTTTCTCTAAAGTATTCTCTGGAGACTGTTGTGCTGGAAGTGCTGCCGCTAGGGAAGCAGCAATAATTAACTCAGGCTCCCCTCCTGTTTCCCTGTTCCAATAATGTGCAGATGTGATCATTGGAACTTCATAGCTTTGAGTCATTCATTTCCCCACAAAATCCTTATAAACTGTCCAACAGTCATGTTTGTATTCTCAACTTCATCGTTTCTTAGCATTCTGACTGTCAGAAGGAGGAACTAATCTATAGAAGTGATTCCAACCATGGACAGTACCTAAATCATGTAGTTACAAAGAAAGAATATTCTGCAACCATGCATTTGAGCACTCATAAAAGGTCTGAGGTACACTTCAACAGGTAAGTAAAAACTTTATAATCTTCTTCTCTTTTAATTGATGTTCTGATGTTCTTTGCTCTCATTTCTTTTTTTTTCTATTTTCCCCATCACTCTGATTTTCTCCTGTTCTTTCTCCTCCGCTTTTCACTAATTGATAACTTTATGCAGAAACAGGAATTGACTGAAGGTATGTCTTCACTTGAGTGTTTAGTTTTTGCCTTACATTGCCAGTGCCCTCAAGACACCACCAATTGCTCATATTGAAACCAACTATTTATTGGACCACAGGAAAAGCTCTTTCAAATAATACACTTTACCTCACCATTATTTTCCCTTTCTCATCAAATCCTTCAATATTTCTTTTTCTTTCTATAATTACAGGAAATTAAACTGATCACAGTATTCATACCATGTCACTATATTGAGAAATTTAGTTCCTATTAACTAAAATATTGAATTTTTCTTATTGCATTCAAAGTGGTCATTATAAGAAATCACGGTGAAAACTCCAACTCTGATCCAAATTATTTCTCTTACTCATACCGTAAAGCAAATAATATGCATAACTCTGAAATTTATCTGTGCCCTTACTTGCTTCCTCATTATGCAGCAAACATTTAATAATAAAGAGAGTGAAAGAATGAACTAATAAATATTTTGGGTGAGGAAAAAAAGCAAAACATAAATTAAAAAATACAAAGTTTTTACTTATTTCCACTATTGACCCTCTGTGATGTAAATTTTAGCTAGCCTCTGCCACACACAACCATCACATCTACTGAAAAGTAGCAATACACATTCTCACTTATCTAAAATTACCCCTTCCAACACCTATGTATATCAAATTTTTATGTGTCATAATTTGAGATTGGAAATAACATTCTGATCCAAACTCTTATTTTTGCCTTTAATTGATAGACTTTATAATACAATATACATACTCCAAAATCTACATAGCCAGTAAATTAAAAAAAAAACCCAAAACTTATCCAGCAAGGTTCCTGTTTTCTCTGTAATTTGGCCTTGGATTTCTTGTATGAACTGTACAAAATTAGGCTTTTTCTGCTTCTCTTAAAAGTAGTCAAAATTCATAAGTTCAGTTTTGTATCCCTTTTGCTGAGTATTTTCTTTATTGTCTGAATTTCAAGATAAATATCATCAACACTGATAAAGTCATATGTTTTGTCCTTTCCCTCCTCTTGAAAGACCTGTGAGCATCTCGTTCACTATGAGATGTGATTATATATGGAGATTACATGAGGCTGACTTCCTTTAGTGGTCAACTGAACAATATAGATGTTGGAACTTGTAAGTCAAGGGTGATGAGCCTATTATGCAATCATATCCAGTTGTTTTTTTAACACTTTTTAAAAATGAAAATGATAAAAAGTCTTTAAAAGGCATTTTGTACATGCATATTAATATAGAATTAAACGTTATTGCAACTCTGTCTGCCAGAACTCTGAATGAATACCAGTACATCTGAATGGATTAAGGACACTGTGATGTGTCTATCCCAAAGAGCACTAAGAATGCATTCACATGACTTGTGAACAGCTGAATTCACTGTTAGCCTCCCCACACTGAGGGGAGCCCCACAGGTCTTTCAAAACAATAGTTTGTACAATCTTTCTGTAGAACTGATTCAGCTATTATGAGTGAACCTCACACTTGAGCTCTTACCTCTTGCACGGTTCATCTCAGGACCTGTTTATATCCTGGGAAAATAATATTTTCTTTTCATTATCATCCCTCTATTAAAAACAAAGACAGTTAATTGCTATAGGTGGAGTACTTCCAAATTTAAATGCAGGAACCAATGATAAACTTCTCTTTTTTATTATGCCACTGGAAGTGGGAACAGTATGGATCACAGAAACAAGACCAGAGTCACTGAGTTCATCCTTCTAGGGTTTCAGAATGAGAAAGAAGTAGAAATTTTTCTTTTTTCTGCATTCCTGCTCATGTACATGACATCTCTGATTGGCAACACCATGATCACCCTTTTGGTGTGTGGTGACTACTGTCTGCATTCACCCATGTATTTCTTTGTAGCCAATCTCTCTTTCCTTGAGATTTCCATCACCTCCACTGTAGTGCCTAAGATGCTGGCCAACATGTTTTCCCTCAGAAAAGCAATATCTTTTGTGGGATGTCTTACTCAGTCTTTCTTCTACTTTCTCCTGGGATCCACAGAATTCTTCATCCTGGCTGTCATGTCATTTGATCGATATGTTGCCATCTGCAACCCACTGAGATATGCCATCATCATGAACAAACAGACATGCATATTGTTGCTTCTGAGATCTTATGTGGGTGCATTTTTGCCAATTTTGGCATCATCAATTTTAACTGCACCTCTGCCCTTTTGTGGGCCAAATGTAATCAATCACTTCTTCTGTGACAGTGCCCCTGTGCTAAAGCTAGTCTGCGCAGATATCTCTCTGGCTGAGCTGGCTGACTTTATCTCCTCTGCTGTGTTGCTCTTGGGCTCATTGCTTCTGACTGTACTGTCTTACATATTCATTATCATTACTATCATTAGTATTCCCTCTGTCCAGGGATGGCAGAAAGCTTTCTCCACCTGTGTTTCACACATCACTGTAGTTACACTTTACTATGGAAGCTCCATCTTCATCTATGTCCATCAAAAAAAGGTCAGTGTGATGGATGTTAACAAATTTGACACAGTGCTGAACACAATTGTAACACCCATGCTGAATCCTTTCATCTACAGCCTCCGAAATGAGAAAGTCAAGGAATCCCTGAGAGATGCCATCAATAAATATGTAGGAATGCTAACAAATTTAAGATCTTTACGATCTCAAAAATGACCTTTTTAAACAAAGATATGTTCATGTCTGGAAATAAAATGATTTTATCATGTAACTATGTAAAAATTAATATTCTTGCATATGGAAAAATTTAAGAAAACATATATTACTTCCTAATCCCTGGTCAAGTTCGCTTAACAGTGACTCCTATAGATCAAAAAGTGTACACATCCATTCATAATACATACACATATATTTACAGGTATACGCTAATAAATACACATGTGATTATTATTATTTCCATTCTCATGTGTCTCCAGGATCTTAAAAATCAAATTATTGTACAGTCTAGTGATTTGAACTCAAACAAAGCCAGTATTGGTTGTCTCTGCTTTAGATTAGTTCTTAGCTTCATTACAAAATTGTCCTAGTTTGCTTTCTTTTTATAAAATTTATCTTTTTCATTTAATGCATTTGAATTCCCTTTAGAAGGAAATAATACTAAACATGCTCTGACTTCAATTTGGAATTTTTGCATATAAATTATCTCACTTTTTATTTAAGTTTGGATTTTAATTATAGATTAATCTCTTCACCACTCCATGTCTGTTACAGTCTATAGCAGTTATGTTGCTACTCCAGTGCCAGAGTGTGAGGGTGCATCTAACTGTGGCAAAGGAATATGTCAGAACTTATAAGTCTCTGCTTATTACGTGGAGAAGGAATAGGGAAGTAGCAGAAATATATCACATTGGTATATTACAATACTTTTTCACAATGGTAGGAAATTACTTCAGCTACTGAAATTCCACCATAAATTTTTTTACAAGAAGAGATGTTTTGAAATTCTGTTACTAATAAGGACCTTGCAATTTGAATACAACTAAGTCAGATTGTACTGCTTTTCACTAACTGAAAACACATTTAAAATAACCTAAATAGATGTGTGAGGAAATCACTCCAAAGTACATGCTTAGATGAACATGAAGTATTATCTATCATCGTTCCTAAGAAATATATCTATTTACAGAGATTGAAGTGTCTGTCATAAGGAAGAGGTAATTTCAAACGTATTCTGTTGTCATAAAAAGGTTACTTAAATATACAAATCACAAATATACTCTTCTCATATACATCATTTTCTGACTATTATATACTCTGTAAATGTTCCAGTCATGCTTTTAGCCTGTGTTTGCAGAAACCAGATTAAAGAGCTATAATGATCTGCATTTAATTTGTCAAGTATTTATAGCTTTTTTCTAGTCGATATTTTCTGATCCCTACCTATGAACTTATCACCTCCAACTCTCAGACTTTAAAATCTTGACTCTTCTTCTTTTAGTAAAAAATAATGATTAATAATTGTGCTTATCCCATTTCGTTATCATTCCCTCATGCTAGCAAGGCTTCTAGGGCATGACTGGAGCCCATCCACAGGGTTCAAACCATTATTCGCAAGGAGAAGGAAAGTTAGAATTTTTATCCATAAAAAACTATAGAAGTTATTATTTTACTTTACTGTCATCAATAAAACCTGAAAATATCATTAGTGATTGCATGGAAGTGAGCATAACAGCTCTGAAGAAAAACTCTTTACCAGTGGGCCAGCTTGCTGATCAGAAGGGGCGACCAGCTAAGAGAGGTTCCCAGCAACAGATCCCACCTTTTTCATCATCAGCCTCAGACAAGCCAGACCTTTCTTCATGTTCCCCAGATATTGCCACTGCTTGCAACTCTCACATTAAATATATTCTATGTTTTTGAACACGTGTCACCCTCCTTGTTGCAATCGATTAGTGAGTTTTATTTCCTAGAATACAGAGTTTTCAAAAGAGGACATTAATGGTGACTATTTTATTCATTTGTGTATTTCCATTGCTGGCTAAGTATGTTCCAGTTGGTCCAGGGTGATATATTTCTATCTGTCTATATAGATTTATGTATGTACATATATGAAAAAGTGTTATATAAAATTTAGAATATTGTTCCTGCTTAGTAAATGCAACTAAAACACAATGCTTTTAAAATCAGTTGCATTCACTTGACTTTTTAAAATGTTTTTTGTAAATATACACTTTTGCATCACTCACAGGTATATGTAACAACACTTTAGGAGGAATGTGAAAAATGAATAAAAAAGTTTAGACATTTCACTTTATATATGTTTCTATTTCCCTAAAACACTAATAAAACTCAAATAAATCATGCCAAGGTAAAGTCATCACATAACTGCTTCAGGTTTTAAGGTGAGTTCAACTATTTCTCAACAGGATAACAGAATTTTTTGTGTCTGAAAGAGGCATTAGAAATATTTTATTTAAACTCTCTATATAAAGATGATGGACATGAAGCAAAAAGTTATGTGTGATATTCAAGATCACAAAAGAAGTAAAAGTAGGAGTTTGAATTCACATTTTTAGTTATGATTTCATTAGTTTAATATTTACTTTTAGTCCTGTTATTTGCAAGGATGATTCACAGATGCTAAGGAAATACAGTAAAGAAGGAATCTAGGCCAATGTCAAAATGACATGGGGAATAGTGATGAATAAACAATCAATAATAGAGTTTCACAGATGATCTTTCATCCTTTATCTTTTTGGCCAATAATACCACCACATTTCACTTGTATCATATATATATATACACATATATATATATATATATACTCATTTAGAATTATTCCTATGAACATTCACACATATTTTAATGCAAATATGTATTCCTACATGCTATTTTATTACATTAAAATATGTATAGCATAAAATGTATAATTTTTTTTCCTTTTTGAGTGTGCAGTTCATTGGCACATTCACATTGCTTTGAAACCATCACGAGAGCTTATTCATCATCCCAAACTGAAACTCTATGCCCATGAAAAAAATAACCCAGAGCTCATGTTGCTTCTCAGCACCTCGCACAATGGCTGCTACATGTCATGTGATGAACAGACTTTTGAATATTGAAAAAAAATGCCATCGTTGATATAACTCACAGAAAATTTGAGAAAGTTTCTAGAGATAGAAATATTTCTAGAGAAATGTTACAAGCCTATCTGCTTATACCTACATTCTTTACCATTCATCACACTGAAATCATTAGTAATGTTCACACTTCAGAATGTCAGAAGTTGCCACTACCCTAATTTCCATCATCAATAGGATCTTGGTTGCCACTTGGCTGGTAAGAAATCCAATTTCAAATGCTATTTTGAGAAAATGACTCCAAAGAACACCTTAGGAAAGTGAACTGAAATCCAACAGAGAACTCTTGGAACCACTAGAAAACACATACCCCAGGGTTATCCCATCAGTGAAGCAAGGTACTTGGTACACAAACTCCTTTCTGTCACTGGTGAAGAGCTGGGCACAGAATACATTAGATTTTAGTACATTTAGTCTGCTGCACAGCTGGGTTCATGAGGTCAGTAACATCATTTTGGCAATAAATACAGGCATTTGAGTGAAAGTGAGCTTGTATACACATAGTGCTAAGAACTAATTTATAAGAGTGAAATGGTATCTGCTATTTCTTATTGTCATGACATATGTGGAAAACGTAGTATACAAATTTCCAAAAAAGAAACCATGCATTTCTCATTTGTATTCTTCTAACCATCCAAATAAATAATAATTGTCATTTAGAATTAATTTTTCAGAGAATAGGAAGAGACAAAATGCTTCTTTATATCACTATATTAGGCTAATACACCCTTGTTATTAAAACCAAATAAGGATAGCTCAGTTACACAATGTTAGAGTATACTTGTACTCATCAATATGGAGACAAATATTATAATGAAAATTTTCAGAATTAAAAATTGAAGCATGTAAAAAGATCATGCATATAATGTAGATGACTATATAGAAGAAATGTAATTTGATTTAATGTTTAATTAATATAGGATATAATTCACCACTTTATCATGAAAGGAGAAAATAAAACATTTCAGCAGAAGAAGAAACAATCAGTATATTTCAATCAACATTTACTACAAAATGTTTTAAAAATAATAAAAAAGGACATGGCCTAGGTTGTCACATCTGATGAGTAAGTGAGGAACACAAATATGATCTCACTACTGCTATTCATATCTCCCATTTTGTCCCTGGGTCCAGCAGGCTTGGTTGGAGTTACCTATGGCAAAGATAGAAATACAAAAGGAAGCAAGCTCACTACCACAAGTGTTTTTCAACACTGTGTATCATGTCCACTAAATTCCAATTGGCCAGGCAAGTCATATGGTTTAGACCAAGGAAGGCAATTCTGTCCCAGCAACATAGAGAGGGTGCTATCACAATATAATAAAAAAGACAAATAGGATGAACAAAAATGCAACCTACCACTGGTGGGTAAATCAATATTTACCCCCTGTGAACTGGAAGGAGTTGCTTTCCTGAACTTAGGGAAGATGACAAATGAAAAAGATAATTATGGAGACAGCAGAACTGTAGGGAGACAAGATGGATGGCAACCAAGACTGCTTCTTACAATTCTTATTTACATTTTCTGCATTTAGATACTCAGCACTAACCTTTGTTTCAGAGTGTCTCATCCAATAATGGTAATTTTTGGATTAAATTCGTTCCGTTCTCTTCCAGTAGTTTGTTTTTCACAAAAACGATAACTTCTCTTCACTGTTACACCATTATGCTTTAGGAATTCAATACGCTTTGGCAATTGGCTTATTCTCTTTTTATCTCAAATGCCTTGTTCTTAATTATGCTAGTTATGTCGTATGGAGTATATTTCCCTTTTTGAAAAACAGTGAAACATTAAAAAAAAAAAAGAAAAAAACACAAGTTACCAAAATCAGACTTTTAAAAAATATATTACTATAGATCCTACAAATATTGGAAAAGATAATATGAAACAGCTTGAAGGTATTTATGCCAATAAAACTGACAAATTAGATGAAATTGATAATTATTTTTGCAAAATGTAATTAATAACAACTGGTTCAATAACAATGATTTAATTTGTCTTACATATTTAAAAAAATATCCAAGAGGAAAATTTGCATCTTTGTGACTCCCCACATGGACACTTCTGAATATTTG